TTTCCCCTTGTTTTTGGTTATCCGTAATTTGAGTTCTCTGCACTGTCTGTAGCTACGCCTCAGGAAACAGAGATGTGGTGTTCTCGGCGGGCAGGTGTCGTGAGAGGAAGAATGGGTCGGCTTGATTTACTCAAATTTTGATTTCAGGACGTGAAATATCTTGAGTCACACTTGATGCTTTGCATCTATAAAAAAAAAAATAAAAAAAAATAAAAAAAATCATCAACGTCTGTGCACCCAATAACCCATCAGATAGATCGGACTTTATGTCCACGGTGGGAAGTCTGGTAACACCTTTCTCACCTTGCATCGTAGCAGGGGACTGGAACACAGTGCTAATACATGTCCCAACCCCATTTTCTCCATGCTCGCATTGAGAAAGGTCCAATTGACTTGGTCGTAAGCTTTTTCAAAATCAAAGAACAGGATAGATGTATTCATCCTCTTCTCTTTGACTTTTCTTGCTGCCTCATTAAGAGTTAAGACATTGTCTAGTATATATCTGCCTGGGATGAAACCAGCTTGATCTATAAGAAAGCATTTATCTGTGAGGTCCGGTATTCTGAACGCTAATGCTTTCGCCATAATTTTGTAGGGTAGGGTAAGGAGGGAGATTGGTCTATAGTTACGAATGTCCTCCCTGTCCCCCTTCTTATACAGTAGGGTCACCACGCTGCTACTCAAAAATTCTCCCATCTTCCCTTTTTCCCAGTTGTCCTTATAGAACTGAAGAAGGTCATTGCCCATTATGGGCCAGAACGTTTCCCAAAATTCCTTAGTAAGACCATCGATCCCTGGGGATTTGTCGTTTTTCATGCTGTGGACAGCGAATTTCAATTCCTCTAGTATAATAGGTTTGTCTAGCGCTGCCGCCTGTTCCACTGAGATTGTCTTGTCTAGGTATTGTAGCATTTTGGTTCTCGCTTCTGTCGTGGCTATAGAGGCGGGTGAGGCAGTTTTCGGCTGATACAGTTCTTGATAGAAACCTCTAGCTATTTCCAGCATCCCTTCACTGTCTGTCCTTGTGGCTTGTTTGCCTGACAATTCCTTTAGCCCTTCAATCGAGCTCGCTCTGCTGTTGGCTTTTATTCTCGCGAAAAAATGTTTAGTCATTGATTCGTTTAACTCGTATTCCATCATTCTTGTTCTGAGTTGTAGGCCTTTCAATTCCCATTGTCTCCATACCGCCAGTTCATCCCTTGCCCGTTCGAAGGTTGTTGAATATAGGATTGAGGAAGGGTCGAGTATCAAACTGTTCTCTGCAATCTTTAGTGCTATCTTCAGAGCCTGTTATCTCTGTCTTCGGTCATTGGCCAGTTTTCGGGATAGCCGAGCCACTTTTTGAGACAGTGAGAGGTAGCTCTTTTGGAACCGTTCCCATTTATCATGTCCTTCTAAGAATGTGCTCCTCGAGTTTTGCCAACATTCGCGTATACTCTCCTGGAAGACCTGACTGAGAAGGAGGGAGTTGTTCAACTTGTGGAAGTTGGCTCCTCTCGTAATGTATTGCTCATAGCTGAGAATTATCTCTACCGGTTTGTGATCTAATCCGGAATATGCGGACAGGGCCAGAATGTCAGCCTCCTTGATGGTTCCCATTAGAGATTCTGAGACAAGGAAGTAGTCAATGCGGGAGAAAGTCGTGTGATGAGCATGGTTTTTCTTTACCAGCGAGAATGCTTTTCTTTCCGGGTGTAGCGTACGGAAAAGGTCCTCCAAATTGTGATCCATCATCAGCTTAAGGATTGGAACCGCTTCTTGTGAAGCTTGAGCCGTGGTTGCTCGAGAGATTATGTCGTAAGTCGGGAAATGGATCAGGATCTTGTACAATGATGCTTCAGGATGTGTACAAGTGAATGGACTTATTTCTGAACGTTATCCGATCTCCCGGTCAGTCCGTCAAGGCGACCCTTTAGCCCCACCGATCTTCCTTTTTGTCATGGAAGCGATTGCCTCCTTCCTACGCAAAGACCCCTCAATCCAAAGGTTGTCAGACCTCAATACCGGTACCCCTCACCACATCCAATTCCCAATAGTGATAATGCTTGCAGACAATCTCACGGTTCTCATAAGGGCATCTGACTCTCCATAAAAGCACTAGTCAGGGCAATGGAACCTTTCAGGTTGGCCTCAGAAATGAAGATCAATTGGAAAAAGACGATAGGCTGGTGGTTATCAGAGGAGGAAACACCCCGAATGGGGTGACCTGAGGCAAAAATAACATGGGAAAGACCTGAGGAGCCAATGAGATACTTGGGAATTATGGTAAACAAGGATGGCCCCGCCCCACAAATGACACAAAACCTGCTGACCAATCAAATCAACAGAATGAGGAGATGGGGCACCACATTCACCTCATTATTGGGAAGAGCACTAGCCATCAATACCTCCATCTTTTCAATGATGTGGTACATTGCCTCTATCTGGACTATACCAGACCAAACTATCAAAAAGCTGAACAGTACAACCAGAGCATACCTATGGTCAGGTGACCCGAACAAATCGAAATACATCCCTAAGATAGCCTGGCACTACATAACGAGAAGGCCACCGAATGGCGGACTAGGAATAATCGGCCCCAAACAGGAAACTAAGGCCCTCCAGATCAAGTGGATAGTCAAGTTACTAACCCAGCCTAGACTGGCTTGACACAAACTGGCCCTTGATAGCATCTGAGATATAGCCCCTGTCCAGAGCCCACGGCCCCAAGAGACTCTGGGCCCTAGGTTTCAGACAGGGTAGCACCAATTGAAGCAGTCTTACCTTCCTTCCCCTCGCTTACCCAAGGCCAGGCGGAACTCGGACTGGCCTGAGCGACTTATACCCCTACCCTTACCCCAGGGTCTAAGCCTTATATATAGCCACTAGACAGTTCTATCCAAATATCAGTAGGAACTCCGGTGGCCTATACATGTCCCTACTGCAGATACTAGACCCCACCCAGTGACTAGACCCCCCCAGTCTGATAGTTGTGTAGTTCGCGATGTATGTGGATACCCGAAGGCTGTGTATGCTCCGTGTATCTATGTATCAAGATGTACAGACAGCACTGTGTGTGGAAACTTGTGTATGTAGCCCATAGGCCATGTATAATTCGCAAGCTATGTATATACCCGAAGACTGTGTGTGCCCTGTGAATCAATGTATAGAGATGTATAGGCAGCATCATGTGTGTATATCGAAGAGAGAACGGGGTAAGCTGGACAAGGACCCCCCCAAGGTCCGAACCAAGCTCGAACCCGTGACCTTGTAACGTGTAATCGAACGACTCTACCATGTGAACGACTAGTGGAAATGGCATGAACGTGTGATATGCCAGACTGGGGAGATCAACAGAACACCCAAGACCAACACCCCCAAGTGAAACCCAGAACCAACATACAACACCATGAACAACCCTTGGGTGGTGCGCAGGCAGTGTCTGTAATAGCTAACCTGCGTCATCCCAAGGGCGTGTGTGTCCACCCGTGCGTCATTCTAACGCCCTGCCGGTGTCCATGCGCAAGGCTACGGATTTGAACCTGCAACCTCATACCACAATGCGCATTTCCAACCGGTGCTCTAACCACTGAGCTACATCAACTGGACACTGTCTGCACCCGCCCTAAGTGAAGGCGGGGCCCCTTGGAAATTTCCCGATGCCTTTCTGAGGCCGATGTGAGCAGAAAGGGGTGTCGTGGGTTGGTTGCTGCAATGCAGCGTCTTCAACCAACTGGTAGGCCCGATCGGTTGAAGAGGTGCGGCCCAGCAAAGATGCTGAGTCCCAGGGCACTTAACAGTTGAGCCCCAGGCACATTCCGGTAGGGCCCTGGGCACAACTACTGGGACGGAGGCCGAGCATCTACAGCCTGCCTCGCCCAGCCAGCAAGCACAAAGGGAAGTGAGGCTCACTCGCTCCAGACATTCTGGCTTGCTGGACGAGAGTCAGGCAGCGTGGAGGGCGCTGGCGGGGCGCGAGGAAGAAGCTGTTGGGCGCAGCATGAGCGCAGCAACAACACCCAGGCTGCTGACGCCATAGCCTGGGAGGTTGAGCGGAGGTCCTTGGGCGCGGGACAGTGAAGGGAAGTCGAGGGAAGGGTGATGCATGTGGGCATATACCTGGTGGCGATTTTTACACTCGAGTGGTATGGTGATTATCAGACATTGGACATGAACAAAGGAAAAAGGAGTCTGGTCCTTTCTTGCCACTTAGACCCATATTCTGCAGCCTGCTATGTTGATAAAAAAAAACTTGTGCTGGTGAGCTGAAGAACCACAACATCTTGATCGAGGCATTCAAATCCAGGCAGGCGCCCCAAGATTTCTCATTGTATCAAGCAAGCAACAGAAAATGGCCATCATCACCTCACTGCTGCACTCATAACAATATTTGGTACGTATGAATTTTACGGCTCTTCCTTTTGTTCTCTTATTCTCTCTCTGCATCCGCATTTGGTTGTGTATTTGTGACATGTATGTACAGCAAGTCTCGTGACTGATGTTGTGACTTCCAAAAGGTGGATGAAATTGATTTGACAACCTGTTCTACTGCATGTGCGCAATATTTGAAGTCGGAATCCTCTTCGCACCCATGCAGCTTTCTATTCTGTTGTTGGAACATCAGCCTAATCCGAATTGTACTGAAAAGTTTGTATCTGGTTCTACCAAGTCATTCCCTTCCCACTATATATTTCTACCGCCCCTTCTTTGATCGATACGACCACTTGTGGTTCATTGATCAGTGGAGGGCACAGGATATCGGATTCCTCCTTTGGCAACTCTCTTCTGTCTTTCTCCATATTCTCTTCTACTGTTCTACATTAAATTGTATTTTGCCTGTGGTGAGTGGCACTTCATTCATAGGCATGTCTGCAAAGGATATCAGACAAGTGAGAGTTTCAGTTAAGGCCATGTGTGCAAATAGATGGATCATGTCGAACTGGAAAGGTTACATACCTGATCCCTCAATGGGAAAGCCTGTGCAAATAGATGGATCATGTCGAACTGGAAAGGTTACATACCTGATCCCTCAATGGGAAAGCCTTCTTCTTGCCAAAGTCGAAGTCCTTGGGGTTGTAATGCACTATCTCTGGGGCCGGAAGATCCATTGCCTGCACATCAGAACACACACACACATCGAAAAAAAAGAAAAAAAAGAAAAAAACGAAAAAAAAGAAGAAAAAGAACACAAGCTGTCTGTGGTTAGCCTCTCATCAGCAAAGACTACTTTGAGAATGCAACAGCTAATGGAGGAAGTAGGAGGACCGGAAGGATTTAGGGGAGCCACAGAAGACTCTTGAGGGACAGAAGGGGAATAAATGGCACAGAGGTGGACAAGGTCAGGAGCCACAGCAGGGGAGTATGGAGGGCCAAGATGAGAAGGTGCAGCAAGAAGAGTAGGGTGCAGATGAAGGATAAGGTGGAGCACGTGGAGCAGGGTAAAGAATATGAATGAGGGGCAGAAAGAGGGGGAACATGAGGAGAGGGAGGAGGAGGAGGAGGAGGCAGTGGAGGAGAATGAGGCAGAATGAGGACTCAGAAAGCACTAGATGCCAGAGGAAGAGGAAGACGAAGAGGACGCCAGAGGAAGAGGAGGAGGAAGAGGACGCCAGAGGAAGAGGAGGAGGAAGAGGACACCACAGGAAGAGGAGGAAGAGGACGCCAGAGGAAGAGGAGGAAGAAGACGCCATAGGAAGAGGAGGAGGAAGAAGACGCCAGAGGAAGAGGACGACGACGCCAGAGGAGGAGGACGACGACGACACCAGAGGAGGAGGAGGAGGACGACACCAGAGGAGGAGGAAAGAAGACGAAGACGCCAGAGGAGGAAGAAGACGACGACGCCAGAGGAGGAGGAAGAAGACGACGACGCCAGAGGAGGAAGAAGAAGACGACGACGCCAGAGGAGGAAGAAGAAGACGAAGACGCCAGAGGAGGAAGAAGAAGACAAAGACGCCAGAGGAGGAAGAAGAAGACAAAGACGCCAGAGGAGGAAGAAGAAGACGAAGATGCCAGAGGAGGAAGAAGAAGATGAAGACACAGGAGGAGGAAGAAGAAGAAGATGCCAGAGGAGGCAGAGGAAGAAGACGCTAGAGGAGGCAGAGGAAGAAGACGCCAAAGGAGGAAGAAGAAGTAGAAGACGCCAGAGGAGGAAGAAGAAGGAGAAGACGCCAGGGGAGGAAAAGGAAGGAGAAGACGCCAGAGGAGGAAAAGGAAGGAGAAGACGTTAGAGGAGGAAAAGGAAGGAGAAGACGCCGGAGGAGGAAGGAGAAGACGCCAAAGGAGGAAGGAGAAGATGCCAGAGGAGGAAGGAGAAGACTCCAGAGGAGGAAGAAGAAAATGCCATAGGAGGAAGAAGAAGACGCCAGAGGAGGAAAGCTTCACACCTCACAGTGCTTTTAAGATGACGAAGACGAAGACGACGACAACGACGACGACGGCGACGGCGAAGAAGAAGAAGAAGAAGAAAAAGAAGAAGAAGAAGAAGAAGAAGAAGAAGAAGAAGAAAGAAGAAGAAAGAAAAAGAAGAAGAAAGAAGAAGAAAGAAGAAGAAACAAGAAGAAGAAAGAAGAAGAAGAAGAAAGAAGAAGAAAGAAGAAGAAACAAGAAGAAGAAAGAAGAAGAAGAAGAAGAAGATTGATATTGTATTTATAACATAATTAGATTATTATAATTATCAATATGGATATTTGATTTATTGTACATATTGTATTGTGATTCAGATTGAGCATGTTATAGATTGATGTATTTCTTTTTTTTTATCCATTCTCTGCATATATGTTATTGTTTCATAGTAATCTATTTGATTCTAGTTTTGATTTATAATATTATAGATGTATATAGGAGAAGAAGAAGAAGAAGAAGAAGAAGAAGAAGAAGAAGAAGAAGAAGAAGAAGAAGAAGAGGAAGAAGAAGGAGGAGGAGGAGGAGGAAAGCTGCATATATGTGATTGTTTCATAGTAATCTATTTGATTCTAGTTTTGATTTAGAATATTATAGATGTATATAGAAGAAGAAGAAGAAGAAGAAGAAGAAGAAGAAGAAGAAGAAGAAGAAGAAGAAGAAGAAGGAGGAGGAGGAGGCGGAGGAGGAGGAAAGCTGCATATATGTGATTGTTTCATAGTAATCTATTTGATTCTAGTTTTGAATATTATAGATGTATATAGAAGAAGAAGAAGAAGAAGAAGAAGAAGAAGAAGAAGAAGAAGAAGAAGAAGGAGGAGGAGGAGGAGGAAAGCTTCACACCTCACGGTGCTTTTAAGACGTTTTAAGACGGCAACGACGACGACGGCGGCGGCGACAACGACGACGACGACGACGAAGAAGAAGAAGAAGAAGAAGAAGAAGAAGAAGAAGAAGAAAAGAAGAAGAAAAAGAAGAAGAAGAAGAAGAAAAAGAAAAGAAGAAGAAAAAGAAGAAGAAGAAGAAGAAGAAGAAAAAGAAGACGAAGCCATTTTAAGACGGCGACGATGACAAAGACGAAGAAGAAGAAGAAGAAGAAGAAGAAGAAGAAGAAGACGTTTTAAGACGGCGACGATGACGATGATGAGGAAGAAGAAGAAGAAGAAGAAGAAGAAAAAGAAGAAGAAGAAGAAGAAAAAGAAGAAGAAGAAGAAGAAGAAGGCAATTCCAGATAATAATCCCCCTTCCTCAACTCTCTTCCCTCCTGATTGCCTCTGACACCAATGCTGCAGATCTCAGTACTCAGGAGCATTGCTCCCCATGTCTCGTGTCAAATCTCACTCTAACCTCTCTCCGGAACAAGATATGAAGGGTGAGGAGAAAAAGAAGAAGAAGATGAAGATGAAGAGAGGAGATACTCTCTCTCTCTCTCTCTCTCTCTCTCTCTCTCTCACACACACACACACACACACACACACACACACACACACACACACACACACACACACACACACACAGAGCACAATGCCGCCCCACTGCAAGACCAAATGAGCATGCATCGCCGGAGCTCTCATGCCTAAGACCAACCAGGTAAGTTTCTCCTCCTAGGATCTCCTCTGCACGGACTAGCCCCTCCCTCTCTCTCACCCCACCGTCCAGTGTCCAGCTACAGTTTGCATTGTCTCCCTGGCGGGTGCTGGTTGGCCAACCCTGCCCTGCCCTCCCAGCTTGTGGTATTCCCAGTGTTGTTCCCAGAACAGGCCGCCAGGCTGAATGTGTGACTGGCTGTCCTGACCAAAAATAGCAAGCCGGTTAACTAGTGAAGGAGCTTTTAAGTAAGGCGCTGGGCAAGTGAGGCATTCTTTCCTACGGATACTCCCTTTAACACGGACTAAAAACTGGCTTGCTTTAAAAGCGAGGAAGAATTTCAGAAATGTTGCCAGCATATTACGGAGGAACCCGGTTTCTAGCAGGTGTTGCTCTCCACCAGTAGACTCGAGAGTGGGTTTAAAAAGGAAAAGCAGAAGAAAACGATGATAGATGGAGATAGATTGAACAGTTCGTACCTCAGCGCAGGCCCTTGCGATCCCATCAAAGGTGACATACTTGTCACCAGAAATGTTGTAGATCTGCCCAATTGCCTTTTCGTTACCGAGAGCTAGAACAAATGCTTCTGCGAGATCCTGTGACAGAGTATAAATACAGCACAACCACTCAGTCTTATGAGCACCGGTCGACAGAACTATCACACACAGTTGAAAAATTTGAGGTCCCATGTTGAGAAAGAAAAGAAACAAGAACAGGAAGGATAAATCCAACAAAAACGGCAACGCTTATGAAGCAAGGTCAACAGTTTCAGGACAGTTCAAAAACCTGAGGCGCCCCACTAACAATCAACCTTCCCGTGTTGTTTTTTTTTGTCCTTTCTTTTTTTGAGTAAAAGGGCCCAGGCCCCAGTGCCCAAACCCTTCCCATGTTGAAATAGAAAGGAAATAAGAACAGGACGGACTACCCTTTGAGTCTGGCCCCAAGACCAGAAATGCCCAACTTGAAAAGCTGCGGATATGGAAAACTTTCGAGGGGAAAAGATCGGTTCCATATTTCCCCTGAGCCCCTCTTCTCTCTCTTCTCCCTAACACAAAGTCTCAAGTTCTGCCTGCAAGCTATTGTGGTCAGCAAAAGCTAGGTTCACTGTCCTCTGGCAGGTAGAAAAACCATGTTTCTTTTTCTTCTTTTTGAAACGGTTTTCACCTTTTAGCAGTAGCGGATGCAGTACCCAGGGTTTGATCCCTAGACCTCACCCTACCTATGTACAGTATCTGTATAGATCCCGAGAATTGAACCTGTGACCTGTGTATTCGCAGACAGTTGGTAGGTCTGTCGTAGGTCCCTAGGCAGCAGGGGTTCGATCTGTAGGTCTATAGCATAGAAGTCTTAGTGAGTTCCGGAAGCTTAGCTGTAGACCTTCCAGAAGGTAGGCAAGTGGGCAAGTGGTCAAGTGGTGAGGCAAGTGGTGGACTAAACCGCAGTGCAACAGCAGTACAACGTCGGTAGGATAGCGGTGAGTCCACAGTCAGTCAGCGGAAGGTCCAGTCAGTCCCAGTCCGGTCCAGCAAGTACCACAGGGAGACTGTGAGCACCAAGGGCCGATGGCAAAGGGCAGACCAACGAGTTTCTGGAGTATAAATCAAGAGGCAGCGCCCAGCCATTCATTCATTCCTGCGTGAGCCATGCGGAAGCGCTGCCACAGCGACTTGTGCAAGGAGGTCTGCAGATGAGCCCGGAGGACGCAGTGGGCAAGAGAGAGGGAGTTAGCATAGCGATAGGGTAGATGCAGCGACAGCTGCCATAGCTGTAGTTAGTAGTGAGTGTGTGTGTGTGTTCGAGTGTTAGAGTGATGCGTGTGGGATATCCAGGGTGATCCAGTGTATGTGAACAGTGAGGTGTTTGGGCGCTGAAGTCGCCATAGCCAATTGAGAGTGAACTCGTATCTGAAAGCCATATCTCTGAGTTTTGAGTGGGCGCATGTCGCCAGTATGCTGCGTTGCTGTTTACATGCATGAAAAGTGTGTTTGAAAACGAGTCTGATTGCATTTTTCTTCTTTTTCTTTCAGCCTTGCACAAGGGTCATGCTAATCTTCCCCATATTGTTCCCATTTTAACAGATTCCCGAAGCATAGTAGTAAAAATCATGTTGATGCTGGCAGCTATTTCATCTGCCAGGGAAAGTGAGGCCCACTGCACAAGCCTGTGCTAGTGGCCCCACTGGACAAGGATGTGCTCATGGCCCCACTACACAAGGCTGTAGCTGGGAAGGATTAGAAATACGTACACCGGGTGGATGAGGACTAGTAGGTCCCAGTCCAAAGAGATAGAGGTGGGGGAAAGAAAGGAGGAAGCTCCCACTTCAATGCATCATTTGTGGTCGTGATGCTGATCTGCAATATTTGGGGCACTGCAAGTTCATTGCAGGATGAAAGGATCGAATCCGAGATGTTTGGGCCAGCTGGACTTGGTATGGCAGTCATATAACCAAACGCGTGTGCATGATATATGCTAGTTTCTGAACGAACGTGGTGGACATGATGATACCCAAAAAAGAAGAGATAGTAGAATACGAAGTTATGAACAAAGTGCAAGGAAAATAAGAAACAGCGAGATGACAATCCCAGATCACACCATCACATTGCAAGCCAAATAGTCACACCGTGTCCAGATAGTAGCATTGCACCAATAATACACCAATGGAGTTTCGTATCACTGAAAACCAATGT